ATATTGAAACTATAAATGAATATTTTATACTGGGCCAGCTAAAACTAAAAACTCAAAGTATTTTGAGGTATTTGAAAGCTACTTAAAAATGTATTCGAAAACTAAATAGTAGAAGAATAAAATAGGAAATCAAACTGCATTATGCTTTAGCTAGTTGAAGAGTTTAAAATATGTTCGATTCTTCTTTTTTTTTGTAGTTTATGTGTAGTAATGTAGGTATCTATTTAATAAAGCGCATTGATTTAGGTGTTTTACGATTAAGTTTGATTGTATTTAAGATATATGGTTTAAATAATTTATCACACACGTACTAAGCCACGCAATCAAGCTAAAAAGTTGGCATTGATATTGATTGATTGATTAGAGAGACAGAGCGAGAGAGAAGGGGAGACATTATTTTGAAAAGTGTAAAGTTAGGCATTAGAGATAACTGGACTATAGTACACAAAGTGAATTATTTTTGGAGCTGAATATCTCCAAAAAATTGAAACTTTACATAGAACTTTGGGTCTATAAACATGGAGTGCTTTTTGGTACAACTCTTAGCATAGGGTATGGCCGTGTGTGTGTATAAATTATGAGGCAGGCAAAAGAAGCACTTCATTAGCTAGGCCTAGCAGCCGATGCCGACTCCAATTTATTCAAATATTTACAAGGCGCAAACAGGCAAAGGCATCTTGAAGGCTGCTCAGCATGGCTAACAAAGGGCTCTTTCGTACTATTTATGATAACGATTTTTAAGCAGATGATTTATTTATTATAAAATACAATATTCAAGATTTGTATGTTTAATTCAGTTTTGAGTTTAAGTTCAAACTTACCAACGAAAGCCAAAGATTCGTTATAAGTAGCTGATTTTTCTCGTCCTACAAACGCATTTGTTTTTGTTTTTGTTTTTTTTTTTAATAAAATTTATTTACATCAACGCAAAATGGAAATTAATAAAACCCAAAAAAAGAACGAAATCAACGAAAGGAGAGAAATAAAAGTTAATCAAAGGCATAAAGTTAAAAAGAGCAGAGCATGATAATAGAAAGTTTATATATATAAATATTTTTTTTGTTTGTTTTACGAGTTTTAAAAGAGATTTTGTTCCTCTTTCATTTATATTATATGTTTTTAGGATTTGGCCAGACTTTGTTTGTGTTCAGTTGATCGATTCTGCTCCACGATTTGGCTTCAATGTGCATTCCGTGAAATTATGAGCAGCTTAAGTTAAGGCTAATCAAATTTCTGGCTAGCTTTCAATCGAATCGAGTTTCCTCTGTTTTCCCTCAGAAATTGAATAACGAGTTGTGTAATTAGCCTGACGCCGGCACAAAGACCTAATCAAATAGCACAAAATGTATAGAAAAGCTATCAAAACTTTGTTGGCTTACACAAAGCAGGGCTTGTCCATGTCCATGTCCTTGGGCTCAGCGCTCAATTCTCAATTCTAAATTCTCAATTTTGCTGCTGGTTAGGCAGCGGAGTCAGCAGTCAGCCGAGTCCTTTTGTGTGCTCATTGTGAGGCGACATTTCACTTTGCCATTTGATCAGATGTGGGCATGTGTCTGTGCAATAAAAACTTTGAACTAGCCATTGTGGATATCAAAACCCATTTATCTTTATACAAATTTTAATTAAAGATATTTCATGCTGGCCCATTGTCAGTCAAAAGTGGACAGACAGTCTGTCAAACGTCCGTCTGTGTATCAGTGTGTGCTTACTAAAATTTAATATGGAATTCAAGCTGCTTCGCTTTCGATGCAGAACAGGCTCCTCCACCTGCCACTACGCCTTGCTTCATTCAGTGGCCTTTCATTTGCCTGACATCTGCATATGAAAGCCTCAGCGCAGAGGTGACTTCTGTCATTAATAACTTGCCAGTGCAAACTAAAGACGAAAAACGAAAAACAAAAAACCAAAAAATGAAACGGAGAGAGCCAAAATGGCAAAAATGGTAAAACAACAACAAGGGCAACATTTTGGCCCAGTTAGTGCCTGACAGCAGCTGCAATAACGACTTGAGCCATTAAAAGATACAAAGTGTTGGGGTATTGAGGGGGCTCTCTCGACAAGGGAAGGGGCTGGGCTCTTCCCGACCTGGCAGGATACTTGTAATGATATGCAGGGTGGATCCACCCACTCTCTGAGAGTGTGAAGGGGGGCAAGGAGGAGGGGGGCAAGGGTGCCACTTAACGTTTTTGGTAAGCCAATATGCGCAGCACTTCCTTTCGACATCAGCAAATGCCATAACGTCTATATATGCATGCGCCTGTGATATGTGTTATGCGATATTTGCTTTTGACACCTTATAAAAATGGCGGTTTTGTGCAAATTTCATGTTTATGACAGGCAGTTTACTAAGCGCTCTTCCTCGCCAAAAAACACAAAAACACACACAAACAGCCACATACACACACACACAGTCAAACACAGCCGCGACACGTCTTGGAGCGTGTGTGGAAAATGTCGAGGAAGCCAACATCATCGCATACTAATATATATATATATTTGTTCATACATATATTTTTGCAATATCAACATACATATGTATATATGCTTTTTCTTTAATGTTTGCCCTTTTCTAAAAACCCCAAGTAAAGATAAATGCTTAGGAACGGGAGGTGCAGGTTTACTTAATTTTAGTTTTACTAATATACTCTCTGAATTAAAGTGTATATTTATTAGTATAGGAATTAATCTTGAATTAGATTAACTATTATTCAAGAATATGGCAAAAGTATTTCTAAAATATATTCGATCCAGCTACTACAACATAACTTAGGGTATTCGGCTGTCGCCATTTCAGTCCCAGCGTTTTTGCTTAACGCAATTTGCTCGAGTTGAAGACATCATTTGCAACAAATGACATTTGCATTAAATGCTCGCACTGCTCTCTTTTTATGTACACCCTGTACATATATACTTCACAGGCCGTACACACACACTGAGACATATGTAAGTGTATCGGATACATACGCTTACGTTTTGTACATACTGTAAGCTTTAGTGAAAGTTGTCATGGAGTTTAATGTCGCAGCTCGTCGAGCACGTTGTCATTGCCTGCATAAGCTTATAGATTTATTTTGCATTAACGTGCCAAATTGTTTTTAAATGAGTTTCTAATGAGCCAACAATTGCCCCAGCAGCCAGATCCAACTGTACATGTGCTTAGCTACCGTCTTTCATGATAAATGTTGCCAGAAAACTTGCTTATAAATGGGGTTTACTACACGCCTACCTACACATGTCTGGTCTCTGCGCGCACTGGAACTGTTCAAGGACAAAGTTTGTTAGCCTTGGCAGCTGCTGTCCGCTGTCCCACCCGCCGCTGCTGATGCCACGGCAAATAAGTGTGTGATAAGTGCGCGCAGTTTGGCTCTGCCCCAAATTGTTGCATGTTGTGTGGCAAACGTTCATAAAATTGGAATTAAGCTAAGGGCTTGCTGTAATGAGCTCTGCAAGCGAAAAACAAAATAATAGCCATTATATTTAATGCACGTTCGAGACATACATATGTAGCAACGGTAGAGCTTCAAAAGTTAACAGCCTAAAAGTGTGATTCGCTTTTCAACCTAGCAAAAAATCAGCAATTCAGGGAACAATTTCTAGCCCATTGAATAATATATTTTCAAATAATGCAATGTATTTAATATACAGCTCCCACTTCTCTGTGGGCCCAGACTTTGTTTTTGCAGTGTTCCGCCGTAAGCCATTGACATTGGCACTAAGCTAACTAGCTGCTATTAGCAGCTTAAGGACCTTTCTAGTGCTCGTTGCACTTGAGCCTTGCTCATGCCTTGAATACCCCTTAGACATTTCCTTTTGACACATTTCTATGGCCAGTCATTTGCTGGGCTTTTGTGTGGGAACTTATTAAGACCAAGGAGTGCAAGAGAGCGAGAGCGAGAGAGCGATAGAGGTGGAGAGAGAGAGAGAGATAGAGCGAGGTTAGTTAGTGCTCCCGGTGTTAGCCGAAAAATGCTAATGACTTTATTTCTTAAATTTTGATGTTGCCTGCACTGCGCCTGTTCCCTTCCCGGCTTCTCTGCTGCTCGGCCGCACACAATGTGCATTTTAATGGCGTGCCAAAGAGGTGGCCTCTGACACTTGAGAGTTCAAGACCGCCTCACGTACGCCTCGGAACGTACAGCTGTAATTTTGCCAATGACACTTTACCATGTGCTCCTCCTGGTGTCTGGTTGCATCTGGACGGATGGACGGATGGCCGACTGGCTGACTGACATGCCTGGGCCACCGATGCTTAAGGCACCATCACCATCAGCATCATCATCATCATCATCAACAACATGGAAAAAGTTGATAGAAAAAAGAGGAGATCAAGCAAAAACCTTGGCAGCCACTGAGCACGTGGCGAGGGACCATGGACACTTGAAATGCTTTTTCCAGTGGTTTCCCGTTTTTGTTGTTTTACACATAGTATGCCAAATTAAACATATATATATGTATGTATGGGTTCAGGGTAGTGGGCGCGTGGTCAACTTGGCGAAAATTCAAACTGATTTCTATGTGGATAATTAATTGAAGCTATCTAGAACTTATACTGTATATGCATTTATTTATCATAATTTCGAATCCGGGATAAATCACTTTCGACTTCTCGAATCACTTTCAAAGGCTGTCAGTGTATTTGTGAGCTTTTACTTTAAACTCGATCTGCAGCTGCATAGCTCACGCCGAGCTTTAAGCTCTTGGACTATAAACAAGCTTGTTTCCTGTATGTGAGATATTTGTTGATAATCATTTTAGTTAGCTCATTTGCTTAGTCGGTGAGTTCGAGCAGCTCCATATGCAGCGGCTTGGGCGAGGGTAAGCTATTAATTATTTATAAACTAATTAGCGTAATTGACAATGCGGCCAGGGTGAAAGGTGAAAATGTCAGGGCTAAAAATTCATAAGGCTGCAGTTGGGGTAAATAATTAATGGTGTTTGGAAATGAACAAAACGCGCGTTGCGGCTTTTCTATCAATGCATCAATCGCAATTCAGTGCATAAATCAAGTGTGTGGCTATCAAAATGCAAATGCCCATGCGTGAAATAAATAAATTCATTTAGCTGCGTTAATTAAAATTTCTTGCTGCACACATTAAAGCCAAATCGATCAAGGAACAGTTTCTCTTCCGTTTTTAGGTTTTGTTTGTTTTTGGATATAAGAGAGTACGCCTAGTTTAGMAGTTTAGTTAGATTCGAGTTTAGTTTAGTTTATATTTTTAAGCAACATGCATGGCTTCTTCTTATATTGATTGGTTTAAACATTTTCTTGTTGTCTTTTACTTTTACTCAGTTGTTCGTAAACGTTTTATGACATGTACCCAGCAATAATTAAATAGTTCAAACATAATCTGCAATTGATACATTTGCAGTAGTTGATTTGGTTAGTAAATACATACATACACACACATACACACGCACGAAAATATGGAAACTGTCTAAATTAACACGAGGTTTTGCAGTAGCATTTATGATAATTAATTTGAAATTAAATGCGTATTTAATGCAAAGGTTTACTCCGTCTCTAATGCGCTTAACACAAGTTGTTTGTCTGCTTTCCAAGCTCTCGACTGGCATATATATCTGTGTAATCCCTAATTTATCCTTTTCTGCATTATTTGTGTGCAATCAACTCGAGAGCGAAGCATTTACTGTCATACCAAGCATCGCTCGCCCTAATGGGACTTAATAAATAAACTACGCTACAAATCAAAAATTCTATAGCAAATGGTATCAATTAATTATTTGAGGATAATAACAGGCTGATGATAACTCCCTGTTGGCTAGACATTTGAGCTAGAGTTTAGAATTTCGTAAACAGGATCTTAGTTAGAGTCTTAAATAACGGCAAAACATTTGTCACTTCAGCAGAAATCTTACGGTATCCTCTATTAAAACAGTCTTATATATATTTTGAAAGATTTTTAAACCCCTTATTTAAAAAATTCTAAAGAAATATTTTGGATTTACGTCTATTGCATAATCAATTATTTTTATTTTTTATTTTTAAATTATTTTTGAAAGCCAATTTGAATATAATTACAAAAATTCATTAAAGCCGAGCACGTTTCATTAACGTAATATTCTGTAATAGATTGAGTGTTATTTTTTAAAGTAAATGCATAAATATTTGCATCACTTTTGCCGCAGGCAAACAACACTTTAAGCGCATTGCATTACGTATACATACATATATTTCAGTATATATACTATACATATGCACATATGTGCATATAATTACTGCTTTTTTAATTCAGACTGTCATTTAATTAAATTGGATTTTCATGTGTTAATTTAATTTGTGTGAGAAAACATGTGGCACAACAGACCAAACTAAAAAAAAAAAAAAAAACCCGAATGGCAAACAATGTCGCGTGGTTAAAAACATTTATTGAAATGAAAAAAGTCAAGTAATGTATAGGTAGACACATTTAAAAAACCATATATATAGATATTTATATGTAAATCACACAGAGACAACGTCAATGAAAAACGCCTAGACACGCTGCTAAAATGGTTTTTATTAATAATTGTTTTAGTTACAAATTTTTTGCTTTGTTAGTTTTGTTTTTTGTTTTTTGTTTTTTTTTTTTTTTTTTTTTGCTTTGTGCATATGCAACAATGATGCAGTTTTCATTTAATCACATTTTTTATTTTAGGCCTTTGTCAGTGTTTTTTTTTTTTTTATTAATTTTTGAAGTTTCAGTTTCTCAACATAGCCAAAACAAAGGCATTCAAAATCAGCTCTGCAAAAATGGGAAATTATTTGTTGCTGTCATAAATCTCGCAGAAAAAATTCGCTATTAATTTTATTGAAAAGGGTTCTATTTTATGTTTTATTCGATCAATCGCACCCTGTTTCAGGTGATGCCACAATCAGACCGTAAAAAGTATTGGTACATCAATTTTATTTCTGTGCGCATGAATACCCTGTAGGCGCGTTGCAGATGGGAGGCTTGTTGCGAACTCGATTGTCTAAGCTGATTTCTTTTGTATCTAAAGACGCGATGCTGGTTAATCTAAAAATACAAATGAAAAGTGGTCAAGGACTATTTTCGGACTTGGTCCATGGCTAGTTAGAGCCCAACATTGGAGTTCATCAACATGTGGCCATATACGTGGTATAAGCTGGGGCACTGAAGGCCGTCGCACATCTTCTCACTTGATTTATTTGTTTGGGCTTATGAGTGGAGTGCTCTCAGGCAATTTATGCCAATTTAACAAGGCCCTTGAATGCATAGGCAATGTGGGCAAGCGGAGAAGCCTATAAATCAAATATTGTTTATGGCTCAAGCAGTCTAACAGAGCTTAATTTTTAAGATGCGTGCTGGTTTGTTAGATATTTATTTATTTTTTAGTGTTTGGGTTCGTTTTAGCTTTGATTATTTTTATTATCGTTTGCTTTTAATTAAAGTGACTGCAGATTTGCACTAACAACAATATATAGTATATGTATATATGAACGGTGTATTACAGCAAATAAGTTTCGGTTGATTTTAAATATAATATTTGTATATAGTTCTTTCCACACACATATCGAGACAACACATATTTGATAAAAGACGGTTTCGAAAGACAAACGCAAATGTATTCGAAATAAAATAGGCTTGTGTTTACTGTTGGTCACTCACTATTGTTCATTATAAATCTGAAATCATAAGTCAAAGCAAATCAAACTGAAACTGTGTACGAACGTAAGACCCTAGGCAGACAAACAGGTGCTAGACAAATTTGACGGCTGGTACATGTCACTTACCAAATTTAACCACGCATTTGTGGTCAGAATCTGATTCTTTTCGTCCTATAAAAAACGCAAGAGCTCGTCAATTTAACTTTTATTGAAAAATGATTCAGTGTTTTTTTTTTTTTAGACAGAAATTGAGATACCGCCGCGACAGGTCCAAACTGCTTAAATATATGTTGAATTTATCAAAGGTGTGAGAATATATTTAAATCAGTAAAGTAAATATTGCGGAAGCCCTATGATTCTTTTCGTAAAAATATAAGGATTATGTAAGAAATTAAAATTATTTTATAGATATTAAAAAAAAAAAA